TTTCCTGTGTAGTAAGAATTAAATATTTAATTATTATTCTTATTGAGTTAAATTCATTAAGAACCTCACCTTTTCAACCTCTGCCTATATAAGAATAGATGTAGATGAAGTTTTTTGATTGCAAAGAATAATAATATTAATAATTACTGACAGCATGATATAGGAATCAACTATCTTTTAATCATCTCATCAAGACAGCATATTTGAATGTAGCATCCACATCATAATGACATAAACCAGAGCAATTCTTATAGAAAAGAAAATTTTGAAGAAGTTCTAAGCAGATGTTCTAGAAACAGTTGTATCAATCACAAATAATACATCTATATCTATAATTCTGTATAATGAAAAGTATTGATCTACTGCAGTTACAAACAGCAAGAAGTTTGTCCACAGTTCTCATACAATTTTTTTTTCAGCATTAATGAATGTGCTACTGCAGATCACTTATTTCTATGAGCTTGAATCTGATATTTTTGTCCATTTTTATGAATTGCAGAAGCCAGCAGATAAGCTATTCACTCAGACTGAATTATGCAAACTTATTGAATTCTATAAGCAGTCAATCTATCATGTGTAGAGTTCTACCTCTGATAAGATTATTGATACATATGATGTAGTTTTCCCTGCAAAAGTGCAAGAAACATCAAAGGATTTCACCACTACTGTGACAATTGAAGATGAAAACACTTTAATCTCTACCATCTACTTGATGGAGGATTCTGACATTTCTGATTTTTTAAAACCACATGTTTCATGAATATGGTCTGTGAAAGTCTTCATGATGTACACATCTTCCTCAATTACACACAGCTTGCTGAAAAACTTTAAGAATATGATTAACTGTTTACAGATGAGATCATATTGAAAGAAATCTATACAATATGAAATTGACAATCTTAAACATCAGAAAACTTGAATATTAATTTCATGTTCTGACATTCTCTACAGTGAGCTGGTAGCACCCAGCTGCTGGGTCTTTATTGAAAAGAATTGCCTCAATGACATCAATGCTGATGAAGATAGTATATTGTGAAAGTTCAGATGAGTGATTTATGACAACTAGCTTAAAAAGAGAACATATCAAGAAATCTATACCTCTGTAGTTACAGATATCACAAATCAAATAATGTTTACAATCACTGCAAAACACAGTTGAACCTTACAGCAGATGAATATAGTGATGATGTACTTATATAACAGATTAGAAAAAACAGTTTATATAAGACAATCTATCAGCTTTGAACAAGAAGATCAATGTACACTCATCTGTGCAGTTGAAGAATTTCTATACAGATTGAATTCAGCTATCAAAATATAATATGATTATCTTACAGCTCTGCTGTGAGAGAACAACTTTATTCTGAGTTCTTACAACCTTACTCTTTGACAGCATTCAGCCCAGAAACATCTAAATATGACTATATATGTTGATGATTTTTATATTTTTGTGGATGCCTCTGAGAATGCTAAATGACTAGTAAATATTCTGCATCAAGAGCATAAGATCAAAGATTTGAATAAACTCACAAAATATCTAAACATGAAAGTAAAATGTATAAATGGCAGCACCAAATTGACCCTCTGATGTTATATTGATTGATTGATAGAAGACTTCTACCTAGATAATGCAACTACTGTTCAAACATTCATAAATGAAAGTCTACATTTAGACAAGTTCTCTGCTTCAAAAAAGAAAGTAGTTAAGCAATAATTTCAATACAGCATTGATTGCTTGCAATATTTGACAGTTAAGCTATAACTGAATATCACTTGCACAGTCTTATTATTGACTCAGAAGAATGCTGCTCCCATCTATAAGACATGAAAAGCTCTGTTACACATTATTTAATATTTAAAAGAAATACATGATATCAGCATATTCTATGTGAAGAATGATAAAAAATCTGAGAATGAGTTCTCAAACATGGCATATACATCAGTTGAATACACAGATTCTGACTGAGCTGATCTGTTGAATAATAATCAGAAATCTATATCAGATTACATCTTCAAATTGATAGATGCATTTATTTCATGATGATTGAGCAAACAACTGTGTGTATCTTTGAGCTTCAATGAGGCTGAATACATGGCATTGAGTGACACTGTATATGAAGCAACATGATTAAGAAGTATAATGATGAATCTAAGTTTTATTGAAGTGAAAGACCCTCTATCAATCAAGACAGATAATAAAGATGCAATCAATCTTGCTACTATAGCTGCAATCACTGCTAGAAGCAAACATATCAACACATGATTCCATTATGCCTGCAGCCAATTGAATAATGGCATCATCTTGATTGAATACATCTCAACTGAAGAAATAGCAGCAGACAGATTGACCAAACCTCTGAGCACAATGACATTTTGACAATTCCTTGATTTACTTGATTTTACAGGTGGGAAAAGCAGGAATGCCAAAACTTAATGTATGTAGCATGATTTGGATGGATTTGAGGATGGCATAGCTAGTTTTTCTTTTTCACATATGGCATTCAAGATCCCGCATGGCGATGTGAGGGGGGGTGTAGCGGCGCCCACCTGGGTGGCGTTGCCCTAGCGACCGCCCCGCCCACACGTGATCGCTTGTATGTAATATAGCAATAACCTAGCTAGCTCCCCTGAATAGAAGGTATCTCACAAGATTCAACCATCCCACAGTTGGGCATGACCGCCCAGTAGCCGCACCACCTCACGTGACGTTCGCGTATATCAGTTAGCTGGTAATCGTGCCGCTGCGCAACCCACACCTCGTGTGGGTGCGCCACACCAAAATGATAAAAACATCAAAATGATAAAAATCTTGAATCACATCCTCATTATTGCACTCTATATCAACAACCAGTAGCTAATCTATAATAAAAAGATTATCTACATCATTCTCTCAGTATGTGTATCATCTCTAAATTGATTTAATTCCTCTTTTGTCAGTGGTGTGAGTGAGTTATTGTCAATTTTCATGAGATCAACTCCAAGTCTTTGTCACTTCTTATTCTGCTCTTTTTTAGCTTCATTATTCTTACACCACTTGATTTTTCTATTGACATCTTTAATAGTGAGGACTTCTTCTACTTGAATCTAATGATGAATTGTTTTAGCTCTGTGGCATTTACTGATGTTGAGAAAGTTCTCTAATTCAGTAATCTATTGCTCATTAAGTTTCATATTAATTAGACTTGCTTTGAATATCTTGTTCAAATGATATGTCAAGATGAGTGATTTCAAATCAAGAGTATCTCTAATACTTTATATGGTATTTTCTGCAATATTAATATAGTATTTCAACTTTTGAATTGTCTTTGATGAGAATAGCTGAGAGAAAGAGATAGATATGTGATCTAAATCATTTTCATCTTTATAAATTTGCAGTGGAGAAGGTGATGAGATTCACTGCTTAAAAGTATCAAGAACTCAGTCAGAATTTCATGAATATATATCATGTTGAGCCTATTCTGCAGCTATTATATCAGATTTAAAGATCTACTTTTGCATAGCTAAGAGGTCTTGTAGAAACTGCTGTTTTTCATACTTAATAAAATCATGACATGCAGCATAGTTGACTGCTTTTGAATGATAATGCTTATATTGCTGAAATGATAGACTATTTAGAGATTGTAGCAAATGAGTGACATGTGATGAAAATTCATATAGAATTATTTTATGAACATCTGTATATTATATGAACTTCTCAGTGATATGAGATTCATAATTATTCATTAAAAGCAATCAATGACTTTCTTTCTATCTCTTTTCTGTAGTAGTATTGAAATGTTTGAGTTATTCAAGTTCAATCTCATCATTTGTAAATTCAGTATCTGATATAGCATTTATATAATTGCTGGACAAATTTATCTATGTATATTAATTCTTCAAGTGTATTTTAAAGGCTAAAATTATCAATGATGAAATGACATGATTATTTATGAATACATATTCAATGACTATAATTAAATCTCTTGAAAAGAATGAAGAAATAATAAAATTAACTTCTTTAAAAGCAGTTATAACTCATTCTTCATGTTCTTATCCTTCTTGAAATTCAATCTCATTGAAGTTGTATATGTCACATATGTGAAATTAATACTGCTCAAATAGAATCTGAAGATATTTAAATCATGTATTGATATATTTAATATATTCAACTGCTACTCTCTTTGAATTCATTGACTTCTGTTTCATTTGCTTATAGTCAGGTAGGCATTCAATGAATCTATAAGTTTACATCTTGCTGACTTTTGAAGAAGAGGTAGTAGAATCTATGTGCTGATGTCTGAGTATTAAATTTATAAAATCTTCAATATGTTCAGCTATAGAAAGATAATTCTTTTTATCAAACAGCTTGATTTATTGTTTAATTAAATTCTTCTGACTCTCATTTAATCTCTTGTTAACTGGAATCTTTGCAGTATTCAGATTCCTTCCATTGATATACACTTAAAGACATTAATAAGAAATCTTAAATTCTCATAACAAAGGCAGTATTTTGAAATTTAGGTTTTTTTGATGATAAGTGATAGCTTTTTGAATACAGTCTTCAATATTTTTATCCTTATTTGACATTGTGGTGAGTTATTAATTGATGAAGATGATGAAGATGATGAAATTGCAAGATTTTTATCATTTCAGTGTTTTTATCATTTTGGTGTGGCGCACCCACACGAGGTGTAGGTTGCGCAGCGGCACGATTACCATCCCACTCGCTATTCTAGCTACACGCTTGGTCACGTGCTGGTCGGCTAATCCGTGTGCCAACAGTAACTTAACAACAGCCGGCTTGATTTGACAGAGATGCCAGAGTTGACTGAGATAGTTGAGCTATTGAACAACCTGTGCTGGTCCCGTGGTCTCCAAAAACATCCCAACTGCACGGAAAAAAAATGTGCACTATCACAGCCCTAACAGTCTGCTTCAATTGAAAAAGGCCATGCATACCCAGCTTCGCCCGACCGGATCTTAAGACTTTCTATATAAATCTGGGTTCAATATCCTGAACAATGGCACCTAATGATTCTGTTCCTTTGGGGCTGACTTCTGCGGCGAGCGAGACGACCTACCTAGTATTAATCCAGGTTGTCTCTCGAGCCTTAACATTTCTCGCAAACCAGGTCCTCCTCCGGTATATCTCTCCAGGGATCTTGGGAGTTGCAGCACAGCTAGAACTTTATGCCGTCACTGCGCTTTATTTCTCTCGCGAGAGTATTCGTGTTGCTCTTCAAAGACAGCCCGCTGGATATGACATTGTGAGCTCTGGTAGTGTCATGGACAAATTTCATCCGGATATCCCTGAACGGTCCGGAACATCCAGCCACCAGGAAGATTCTCAGGCCGTTGTGAACTTTTCTTACCTCGCGGCTGCATTAGGTGGTCCTCTGATATATATTCTTGGTCAGTTTTATGTCAGATTTGCCAACCGAGATGTTCTCGATGTACCCTTCTTCAACAGCAGTCTCGAATTATTTGGGCTTGCATGTTTTCTAGAATTGTTGGGGGAACCCTGTTTTGCTATCGTCCAAAAAAGAATGCTATATAAAACGAGGGCGTTGGTTGAAACATCTGCGGCAGTGATGAAAGCCATGATTACGTGTGGGACCAGTATCTGGGCAGTTCGCAGCGCAAACGACGTGGGAGTTTTACCTTTCGCCATGGGCCAAATAACATATGCTGTTCTTGTTCTTTTCGCCTACTTCATTACTATCGGGTCGCATGCAAAATGTGATGGCTTTTCTGTCTTTCCATTTCCCATCCGCTACCAGTTAGTGCCTCTGCCCCTGTTTCTGTAATGGCGTCCTAACGATATTATAGAGATAAAACGAAATATTTGTTGAGCCTCTTCTCTCGTCCTTTGCTATCCCTTAGCGTCAATATCTACGCCCAGTCTGTAGTAAAGCATGTCCTTACGCAAGGCGACTCAATGGCTCTCGCTGCATTCTCAACTCTTGAAGATCAAGGCCTTTACGCCCTGGCTTCTAATTACGGCAGCCTTGTTGCAAGAATTTTTCTCCAGCCCATTGAGGAGAGTTCCCGCAACATGTTCGGAAAACTCCTCGCAAGTAACGGAGCAGAAATGACAAAACCTGAGGCTGTTGCAATGGCGAAGTCATATCTCAATGATATTCTGCGCACTTATGGTATTCTTTCTATCATGATTTGTGCTCTTGGTCCCACCATAGTACCGGAACTTCTCAATATCCTAATAGGCTCTCAGTGGTCGTCCCCTACTATCCATGGTCTTCTCTCAAACTATTGTTATTATATTCCGTTGCTTGCATTCAACGGTATCACGGAAGCATTTGTTGCGTCCACGGCAACGCATTCAGAGTTGAGGCAACAAGCGGGCTGGATGGGGGCATGCTCCGCCGGATTCGTCGCTGCGGCGTATTTATTTTTGAGGGTATGGAAGTTGGGCGCAAGCGGGATAATATGGGCGAATCTCATGAACTTGATTCTACGCATTGTCTGGAGCTACTGGTTCATCAGGAAATATTTCCGAAATCGGAAAGATTGTTTCAACATTACGGAAGCCCTGCCAAAGTATGAATCCGTTGCCACTGGAGTTTTGGCCCATGCTATCTTGTGGGGTTTGCAGCCTGCCTACGAATCCGGGCTAAGTGACATATTAAAAATGATCGTTGTCGGAGGCATATTTTCAGTTTTGATGTACGTTCCATGCTAACATCTTGATTTTAATATTCGTCCATTCTTCTCTCACACTAACCAACGAAACACAAAAAACAGCCTATTCCTTGAGAGTAAGTACCTCATCGAGCTGTATACCAAACATCGCACAGCGAAGACAAATCCAGATTTATAAATCTAGTCATCAAACTTTATTTTGGTAGCCGTCTTCATAGTATTAGCCTCCCTGAAGAAGGCGCCATAAGAATCGTGTTGCTTCTTTTTCACTGTGGTACCAAATTTTAAGAGCGCCTCTGGAACCTCCTGTTTAGCTCTCTTCAGGATATTTACCAATCTATTTGACATTAGCTTTTTCGCCTGTGACTAGAGGGTTATATAGAAGATACCAAACTCACCCGCCAGATAGTGCTTTGTCATTTTCCGTGAACATCGTAATCGCCAACCCGTCCGCACCCGCACGACCCGTTCTGATATTAAGGTTAGCTTCGTTGACTTTGCTATTGGCTGTACGGGTGCTGCTGTTACCTTCCAATCCGATGAACGTAGTCCTCAACCGTCAAGGGAAATGTAACATTTAGGACCAGCCTGACGGCGGGAATGTCAAGGCCACGGGCGGCAACATCGGTAGCAACCAGAAGCGGTACGGCACCGGATTTGAATGCATCTAAACTCTTGAAACGTTCGGTCTGGTTCATGTCACCATGAATACCGGCCACTTTGAAACCCTTGGAGCGAATTAAGCGCTCAATACGCGTTGCCTCCTTTTTGTAAAGACAAAACACCAAAACCTTATCCATGGCATTCTTTCCCCTCTGATATTGGTTTAGTAACGACAAAAGCCGATGTTCCTTGTCTTCTGGTTTTAAAACTTCCACGATCTGCTTGATCCTTGTGTTGGCACGGATATCGGAGGAAAGATCTCCTATAGTAATCGTCACGTGGTCCTTCATAAAGGTGGCGGCGAGTTTCCGTACGGATATGGGCCAAGTTGCAGTGAACATGACAGTCTGGCGTTTTTTTGATGAAGGCATAGCGTCCACGATATCCTTGATATCCTGTTCAAATCCTTTATCCAACATCCTATCAGCTTCATCTAAGACAAGATATTTCACCTTATCCAAGCGCAAGGACTCGTCGCCTTGGAAATCCTTTAGCCTTCCCGTTGTTGCGACAACCACAGACGCCTTTTTCAGAGCACGGCGCTGGTCATCTTTCGAGGCGCCTCCGTATATGCATGCGATGCCAACGTTGTTTGGAGTGAACTTGATTAACTGGTCGTAAATTTGCGTAGCCAGCTCCCTTGTAGGAGTTATGATCACAGCGGAAATTCGAGATGATGAACGAGAACCGTTGATTTCCAGCACTTTTCGAATACACGGGACGCCAAAGGCTAATGTTTTTCCGCTTCCAGTCTCAGCGACACCGATGACATCTCTGCCTGCGAATAAGAATGGCCAAGAAACGGATTGGATTGAGGTCGGCTTCGAAAAATTCTCTAGAGGGCCATAAAGTTCCTTGGAATCTGAAGGCAGGTACGAAAACTCAGTAATAGGACGCAAAGTCGCTTTGGTCAAGGGATCCAAAATCTGGATTGCGTGGGATTTCAAGAAGTCATCAATCTCGGATTGCGAGACCGCATCCAGATCGGGAGATTGGATGTAGGAAGGTGTTTTGGGCTTAGCATCCTCCTTAGACCTTTTCGTTGGTCGAGAAGAGAGTTCTGGATTGGATTCCGTATTGCGATTCCGTTTGGCCATGATTAATTGTCAGCTGGGTGTTGTCTAATTCGCAAAAACTTGCTGTAGCGGACTGTGGAACCAGATTTGAGATCGGATAATTTGGTGTTGTGCACATCGAAAAAATAACTAAGCAATAATACCTACCTACCTTCAGAGTAGAGTAGACCAAGGCCCCCAAAATCAGGTATTGCTGGGGAGGAGGAGAGGCTATCTCTCTCAAACAATACAATGCTCGTGGAATTCAGTCAAATATTTTCTCACAAAAAAAGGAAAATAAAAAATTTATTTGGGATGATTTCTGCCGCATCCCAGTCACCGCCTTTCTAATCCTGGGCCGGATGCAATTCTTATGAAATTTACTCTGTACTCCGGACTCCAGACCTCGTATACTTTAGTGCAAGGTGGATGGAAAATAATTCCAAGAAACTATACTATTTAATCGTTGCTCACATATTCTTGTTCAGGTCCGCATGTGTCCCAGAAACCAGAGTCCGACATCAATCCTCTCCGATGGTACAGATGATTTTCCCTTTGGTCTGATTGCTTTCCAGAAGCAAATGGGCATCAACAACCTTCTCAAAAGGGAAAACTTCCTCAATGTATACCTTGAACGTCCCATCTTTGAATTTAGGCATTGCGCGGTTTAGCAACAGATCGCGAAGCTGTCTCTGGTAGGCAGAGTCCCTGCTTCGCAGAGAGCTGCCTTCGTACCTCAACCTCTTCCTCAGAAATGCACTGATATCGACACCGGCAGGCAATTTTGTGCCCCCCAAGAAAGCAAGATTGGCAATGCGGCCATCCAGCGCGGCCGCGTCGAGGTTTCCTTGGAAATAGCTTGCGCCAACGAAATCGATAATCACATCGACACCGCGACCACCCGTGGCCTTCTTTACCTCCGCCGCCCAGTCTTGAGTCTTATAGTTAAATCCAGCTGTTGCACCAAGTGTACTGACGCAGAAATCGATTTTTTCTTGGGAGCCAGCGGTAATGTAAATACTACTAGCGTTATCTGCTTTTGAGAGCTGGATGCCAGATATGGAAACGGCTGATGCCCCGGCATGCCAGAGAATTGATTTACCAGGTTCGAACTGGGCCACTAGATACATGGCCTGTGCTGCTGTGAACCATGTCTGTAAAATCATAGTTAAATCGACAATTAGCATAGGGACTAGTATTTTTGCTGCCGTAGATAAGAGTCATTGTTGCGAACCTCTGGTATTCCTGCAGCTTCTACCCAGGAGAGCTCAACCGGCTTATGAAGTAGCGTCTGCACTGATGACGAAATATACTCCGCATATGCCCCTTTTTAACAATAATATGTGAGAAATGACATAGAAATCATTAAAATGCCCATAACCAAGAGTGATAAACTCACCGCCGTAGGCTAATCCGAATACCTCGTCTCCGACGTTGAAGTCGAGACAATCCCCACCACCCAAGCTTTTAATAACCCCGGAGAATTCCACGCCAAGTGTGCTGGGGGCTTTAGGAGGGACCGGATACATCCCTTCTCTTTGAAGCAGATCCATCCGGTTCAAACCAAACGCTTTTATTTTCACTAGGGCTTCCCCAGCAGCTGGTACTGGCTTCGGGATTGTATTAACAAAAAGATTTGCGGCAGGGCCTTTTCCTCCCCTGATATCTGATGCACTCGTGTTAATAAGGGTCTCAAACATACTGTAGGTGGCAGAACGAACCTATTGCGCGCATCGTGGCCATTTTAGATGTATTAAGTATGATTTATCACACGCAGCTTCTTTTACAGAAGGTTGTTACAGGAGCTCAATTATCACAGAAAGCGTGTTTTTTGTAAATAGATATGTTGTAGAACCTTGGAAGTTGTGTTGTCTTGCTTATCTTGCGACTTTTTAGACATTCACAGATCCTAGCAAGCCTGCGGCGGAGAAACTACCTAGTTAGGTAGCTAACTAATTATTAAGCAGCAAAACACTCCGCTCAGTAACCGACGATAAATCCCTCGGTGGAGACTGTGCAATAGCTTTCGCATTACCACCGGTTTGCATCGTCACGTCAAGATAGATACGTTTCGCTGTTTTCCCAATAATATATAATGAATAATAAACATGTACTCTGCAAAGGGTAAAGGAACAATTTTACAAGGCCCAAACGTTGTTCACGTCAATCCTTAGCCAATCTGGTATGATTTTATCAATTCTGCGAGGCGAACAGATTCCGTGGTATAATCAATCGGACTAACAGACGATACTTGGTACCGGACACTAGTTATATATTGTTAGTAACAACGTATAATACACTTCTGTGGTTGGATAAAGTAAGGTTCAGTTACCGCTGCTGCTCCTGAAAGCTATCCATTTTGGCCCTGCAATTAAAATTCCAAGCGCGACAGTTGGCTTTCTGGACAAGTTCCTCATGAGCCCTCTCATCATTGTCCTTAAGCTCCATGATTTCATTTGCAGATATTCCTAGTAGTGCTTTGCCAACTTCGTCGAAACAACTAAGCCACAGGGCACCTGTATGATCGCAGACATTCACGGATAAGATATAACGATATTCTGGCCGAGGGAACGATTGGTCGCATCGCTCACAGCGCCACCGGCCAGTTTCATCCTGGAGGACTTTCTTGTTGCATTTGTCAGTGAGGCAAGCAGGGTAAGCCATGGTGTCTTGCTTGACATAAACCACGGTGGCTTTCAAAGAGAAATAATCTGGCTTTTCTGACATTCCCAAGTTCTCTTCTTGAACTTGCGCAATGGTTTTGAATGAGTTTGCCCGTCGGTCACCGGCGCCGACCGCGCCGCTTATTGACTCATGGGATGCAAAGGTTTCCGACCTTCCTTGGGCCTCATACCAGCCCTTTAACTTATGAGCGTCTTCAATGTCGGGATCAACTGTCATGGAGCCGGAACTCAGCAAACTAAGAGATCTCCCACCAAAATCGGAAACTTTCACACCCTTGAATGCGACCACAGATTCAGGCATGGAGTCAAAATCCTTTGCAGCGTTGCCCCACACGGTAAGGCGAACTGAATAACCCGTGTTATCAACTAGGGTAAGGTCACGCTTGTCATAAGGCTTGCTAGTTGTCTTGGAAAGGATCTGAGAGGCTTCTCCAACATCTTTCAGCACGCCAATTACATCGATAGTGGTGCCTGGTTCAATCGTCTGTAAATTGGCAATATTGGTGAAATTGAATCGAATTTGGGGAACATCATTTTGTTCTTCAGCCTGATGTCCCTTGTCTGTTAGAGTTTTCTATTGTTTAATATCAAATCATAACTTAGTCAGACTAACCTTTTCAACGACCGTATCCTTTTCAAAAGTGAGTTCATATTCGTTATTGAGGTTGGTAAACGCTTTCTTGGCTATTTGCACACGACATGGGCTGGATATGTAATATACGGAGCCTTCCTCAAAAACTCCATAGAGTGCGTCACATTGGTCCTTGAAAGCCGTAGCACGAATTTCTCCGCTATCATCTAATAGATTGACGCTAAAAAGTCTACCCTCTCCATTTTTATTGTGCCAGGTTTTGATTTCTGATTTGTTCGTACAGCGGGCTTTTATAGTCCATTTATGTGAATAGGGAGACAGTGCTTCAATGGGATATATATTGGCATAGGCGGTGGTGCTCGCTGAGGATCGCTGTGCTGACTGTTGTGGTGCTTGCTGCGGCGCACGGGAGCCATAGAAACCGTTGGTGGAAATCGTTGTTGGAAGAGATTTATCCTGCTCCTCTTGCTTCATGTCAAGTGGCTGAGGTTCACCAATCTTTTTCTCACACACACCCAATCTGTCCAAGACTTCGAGGTCAAGAACAATCAAGATTCTACAACAGGTTTTCAAAGTCAGCTTGTTGTTGCTCTGGTGCTGATATCGCAGTTATTCGACAAATATATAGAACTGACCTTTTCCCCTTAACCAAATTAGCTTGAAATGACTTCAAGCGAACGAAGCAACCGCGAACTAATTGTCCGCTTGTGACATAATGGTTGGCCTCTATCAAAAACCCAGGTTAGAAAACAACGCGCTCCGTTATCACTAGAAAGGAGCCAGGCATACGGGTTGCAAGCATCGTTTGCACATAGTTTGAGATGTCACTGAAAACCGCCCTGAATCTTTCCGGGCTGTTTGGCTGAGGAGGCAATGGTTTAACTTGAACACATTGAACTACAGGTTCCGCTACCTTGGGCTTTGAGTCGTCGAAAATTGCACTGGATACAATTAGCTTGATAGATTCTCAAAAGCAGGATAAGCATGTGGTGCTTATGATAAGTACCTGAGCGCCCCCATCGTGATCTCAGAAGCAGGGTCTGCCATGATTGGATTGAAAGTAGAGCTTCACGTAGCAAAATACAGAGTAACTAAACTACTCTGGTGTTCTGTATCAAACGGCCAGGCTGCTGGTGTGGAGGATGGATAGACGTTGTGGTGTTCAGACGGGGGTGAACAATGAAATATAAGTTTGACGTCGAAGTCGCGTCAGGCTGAACACGCGTAAAGAGGTTTGGATGGGAATGCTTTCTGCGAGAACAAGGAATTACGTAAGCACGGTGACCTCACCTCCCCTCTAAAGTTACAACCTATGTATTTATTTATGCCTAGATCCTGCTCAGCTTTTACCCTGCTATCTTAGCACCTAAGTGGTAGGTAGGTATCTCATGTCCGCGGATATACAGGAGTCAGTTTAAAGAGGGTCATTTTTCTGAGTACGCACCACATGGCTTGCGTTCATCTTGATTCCCCAGGTATGTCGGCCTTGGCCCGCCCTCTGTTTCTCTTCCCGCGCTGACATGCTTCTAGAGCTTCGTGCCCCGCGGATCAACCAACCAGTCTATCGAGAAGATTGCACGCAGTGTTTTGACTCAATTGTACGCCACTCTCTGTTCCAAATATCCCATCCTTCGGAAGATGCTAATAACATACGAAGGATGACCCATCTGGCTTGGATGTGTGTCTTTTCTGTTTCAATGGGGGTTGCACTGGGGATAGAAATCACTCTAGCATCCACCATAAACGGTCCGGACATCCATTGGTATTGAATATAAAGAGAACCAGGAAGATAGTACAGGTTAGCTTTTCTTGATTGCCCTCATTTCTTGCCGTTTCTTTATATACCAAGAGCTCGTTTTGCTTCACATGGTATTAATACGAAACTCAGCGAGATGAGCCTCCCCTTAAGATGTCAAAGCTAGCGATCACTGCGGAAACAGAAGAAGATCGCTATGATACCACCACAACGGTCAACTGTCATTCTTGTCAAGTTAGTGATATTGACAAGTCTGCCGGAAATCTCCCTTCCGTTGTTGACGGTGTAATGAAGGCACTCACATTTTCTCGTCAGGAGGAAGTGAAGGCGTGGGAGCAGGAATATTCCCCTTGCCAGCATGTGCTGTCGCTGGTGCAGCATGGCTCAATCCAGGAAAATTCCAATGGTATGTAATCTCAAAAAGGTGGCATATTAATTAAGGGGACGAACTAGACTAAAACCTTCTGCGATAGATTTTTCTAAGTGCGCCTCGTGCAACTTAAAAGAGAACCTATGGTTGTGCCTCGAGTGTGGTAATCTTGGATGTGGCCGAAGCCAGTTTGGCGGTGTGGGTGGTAATTCCCACGGACTTGCTCATGCGGATAGTTCTTCCCATGGCGTCGCTGTAAAGCTTGGTTCTATTACACCCGAAGGCTCTGCGGATGTTTTCTGTTACAAATGTAATGACGAGATAATCGATCCAAACCTTGCCACACACCTTGCGCACTGGGGGATAAACATTGCTGAGCGACAAAAAACCGAGCAAAGCCTTGTTGAAATGCAGATTGAACAAAATCTTAAATGGGATTTTTCAATGACTGGTCAGGATGGGCATGAGTCGAAACCCCTTTTTGGAAAGGGACTTACTGGACTCAAGAATTTAGGAAACAGCTGTTATATTTCCAGCGCTGTTCAGTGTCTTTTCTCGTTACCTGAGTTTAAGGAGCGGTATTTCCAATCCATGACAGAACCACCACCTGCCGCTGCACCTGCCGAAGACCTAGAAACTCAATTGCGAAAACTCAGTGATGGTATTCACTCTGGCCGCTATTCATTTCCCGACCCAGATGTTGCGATTTCGGCCCATTCTGCAGACGTTGTCTATCAAAAAGGACTTGCACCTGCAATGTTCAAACATTTGGTTGGCCGTGATCACGAGGAATTTTCAACTATGCGCCAACAAGATGCATTTGAATTTCTTCTGCATCTCTTCAAACTCATTACTCGTTCAAAACACTCAGATGGCCTCCAAGATCCAGTGGGCTCGTTTCGATTTGCACTTGAGCAGCGCTTACAATGCCTAGTATGCAAAAAGGTCCGATACACAGTAGATGAACAGGATAATATATCAGTCCCTGTTCCCGCACGTCGTGTGAAACCTAGCAATAGTGCAGTAGATGGAACCGAAGATCGGAGTTCCTCAGATAAACCGGAGTTCGAGACGGTTACTCTGAAGGAGTGCTTGGGCATTTTTACAGGGGAAGAGATTGTTGAACTAACATGTCCGGCATGTGGCAGCAATGATGGCTTCCTCAAACGATCGCGCTTTAAGACTTTTCCGAGGAATTTAGCTATTAACGTTCGCCGTTTCAGTCTAGTTAACTGGGTGCCAACAAAACTTAATATCCCTGTTGAGGTTGATGATAAACCGGTTGACTTAAGCCCGTACATGTCCCCCGGGTTTCAGGAAGGTGAAGAACAATTGCCAGACAATCCTCCAAGTGAGCCAACGGCGTTTGCTCCAAATCAAGCTGCACTTAATCAGCTCCTAGCGATGGGTTTCCCAGATGTTCGGTGCAAGAAGGCTCTTCATGCAACGGGAAACTCTGATGCAGAGGCCGCCATGACTTGGTTATTTGCCCATATGGAAGATCCAGATATTGATGTTCCTGTAGAACTTACCACCGGCAATGCTACCTCTGTCGATCACCCAATGGATGACCCAGACAAAATCGCTCAGCTAAATGAAATGGGAATTGACTCTGCCAAGGCCCGTAAGGCTCTTAGAGAAACGGATGGGAATGTTATGAGAGCTGTCGATTGGGTCTTCAGCCACCCTGATGATTTTGGGGCGGTTGAGACCCCACCTGGTGACGCAGCCTCCAAAGAACCTCCGGGGTCTAAATATTTGCCAGCTGAGTTTCAGTTACAATCCATTATCTGCCATAAAGGAGCCTCAGTTCATGCCGGGTAAGTACTTCATGTTTGTCTGCTTTTTGATTCGATAGTTCAGATTGCTAACGAGACAACGCAGACACTATGTTGCCTTTGTACGAAAGCTGCTTCCGGGATCGGAAACGCCACAGTGGGTTCTTTTCAACGATGAGAAGGTTGTTGAGGCAAGCGACGTTGAGGAGATGAAGCAGTTCGCATATGTATACATTTTTAGACGATTATAGCTCTTTCCGTCTATTCAAATCTTCGAGATGAATTCCTAGACAGATAGATTTTCTTCTTGCTGCCATTAGCAAACTATCGGCTTGATCTAATGAAATAATGTCTATTCTTGTTGAGATTTCTTTACATTACTACTGTTTTCACAAGCAGGTAGAACGAAAATGCATATGTAGGATATGATACATGATACCAATGAGTACCTTAGATGAAATACAAATTCAAGTTAACAGAGCATATATATTTATTACTTTAGATCAATACTATCAGCCATTCCAAAAACATTACGATGTAGAAATTGGTAGGCAAAAAGAGGGGAATGATATGTTCAAGAATATTGTATTACGTCAACACTCCCAGCATATCCCGTGGATATTTTAAATACCACCGATGAAAAAGGAAATAGAAAGAGGAAGTTTGCTGCAGCTAATAAACGATAAGCAAACATCCAGATATCAAAATGAAGAGTTGATAAAGAATGACTGCGCAAAAAAAAAAAAAAAAAAAAATTGGAGCATAACCACGTGAATGATGGACTGTAAAAAAGGACTACCATCAATATATTTCCCCAACACTAGTCGTTTTATACTCTTCACGAACGGGTGTGGAAGGCCGTCCCCTCGTCTCGTTAATAATCAAAGAGAACCAATCGTCAAGCCTGCCCTTCTCGATATACGTGCGTAGCAAATCAGCTTCCGCATCCAGCTCCTGGACGAGACTAATTTGCTGGTCTGGGGCCAGTGTGGCATGAGACCATGAGGGCAAAATATTGGATTTGAGAATGCGTGATGGTGTATATGATTGGAACGATAGACGGACATTCCGATCAAGCCCTATTTGGGAGATATAAGTTAACCACTATATACGCGGTATACACCAGGAAACGAAAATATAATTAAGATCATATACCATTAGCCAGCTGCCTCACAGTCTCCGCCAACGTTGTATTAAAGACGTTAGACTCAACCTCCCTGTCACCCTTCTCCCCCGCCCGGTTGATAATCTCCCAATTATCACGAAGCATACACCGACGCCAAATGAGCATTTGCAGCGCCTCGCGATACTCATGTCCCTGCTGCTCCGGATGCGGGAAAGTGCCAGCCTTCAGTGCAGTGAATGCAAAGAAGAATTCACGCCCTGCCAAACTATCTTGAAACTCTACACCTTCGAGGAACTGGACGGGATCCATAAGTGTCAGCAGGTTGATGAGTTCCTCAGCACCCATCGGAGTTCTGGCGACGAGTTTGGAAAAGCTGCGATGAAGAAGTTCACGGTGCGCAGGTTTGCCGCGGACACCGTGATTAGCGAATTGTTCCATTGCTAGTTGGAGGGCGGCTCCTTCGTCAATTGCACCGTGGAGAGCGGGGAGGATATGTTCGTAAGTCAGGTCTTGAATATTGCAAATCTGGACCAAATCATCGAATGGCTGTAATTGCGTTTGTAAATTTGAGGGAAAAGAACCGGACGCTTCAAACACAGCTAGCCTAGTGAGTTTTGCAAGAGCGACTTCGACCCGTTTGCTCCAAAGGTCGAACTCCTGTTCGACAGCTATCTGCTTCAAGGTCGTACAGGCGGCGCTATAATCATGCTCACCGACAATATCATTGATCCAGCTCAGCTTTGAATAGGCCGGATGACTTCGTAAGAATCTCGTTACGTATTCCTGGTACTCATGCATAATGAGTAAAGTTTCCGGCTGACCAACATTGATATGTCTAGTGAAGAATGCATCTGCCCAGGCTTCGCCAAATCGTTCGAAGTATTTATCAATCCTGAGTTTCCAGGACTTCGTCCCTTCATCAAGACCTGAACTATCACCTTCTGGTCGCCTGGGCGGTCTTTGTTCCTTTATCTGCTCGTGCAGATCTACCATCAGTTCCACCAAAGCGTCCATGTCTCGGAAATTTTCCGCGAGAGCAATTGACTCTTCTAGCAAGCCGATTGCTGCCAGTTTAAACAACTGTGGCTTTCGATTTTCCACGTGCGATTTTTCAAGCATTTTCCCATTCTTTTGTATCTGGGGGTCAACTTGCGCTGCGCACCACATAGTTCGCTCCTTATGCAGTAATGCAAATGCCCTGAATTGCCTAGGGATGTTTTCTTTGATTTTGTTGAGGACTTTGGCAGTTTTTGTATTCGATGAATCGGATCCGGTAGCTGCCGGACGACGTCGACAGATATTAAGTTCCAGGTCAAGAAGCTGTTCCGTTTCTGAGTAATTAATCTGCTTCGAAGTCCAAAATTCTGGCAAATCGCTATACTGCACCATGGTGACCGCATCATCATCGGCAAATTCGTCACCTACTCCATATAGAGTAGCATTATCTTCCCGGAATTGGAAGGCAGTTTCCAGAGCGGCCAGCGAAAGGTCACAGGCTTCACAAACCTGTTCCGCAAATTGTCGATCAACCGTACGACCCATGTGGCTCTCGTCCTTTCTAAGGCCATTCAAAATCCATGGAATGATATATTCCATTCGCCAGGTATCATAAATAAACCAATGGCGAATAACATCGCTTTCACCACTTCCAGACTCAATTTTCGTCCTATGATTTTCTCCCATTTTCGAAAGAATCAAGGCAAGATGCGTCTGATTGCTGGTGCGATTCTCCTCATTTCCTTGCTGTACCCTCCAAATGGCTCTCTGCGCAGCCATCTTCTCTGCTCCCCACAGGAGCTCCCACCGCGCCAAGGGAGAGAGATGCACATGGAACCGCTTTAGGTAAACCGCAAGATCATGAAGTGCCATGGCTCGCATTTTCAATTGCTGTCCTATTGATGGAGTTGTAGTGGAAATGAATTTTGAGCGACATCGGAGAATTTCGTCGCTTATTTGTAAAGCCGCGTGTTCAAGCTCGGTTGGGTCTGATCGAAGCTCGTGATAGCCAACAAAATCAAGGGGGTTGACTTTCATACTACCGTAAAAGACGGCCTGTTCAAGCCGCGATTTGGCAGTTATTTTGTTCCCGTCAACACCATCAGCAGATTGTCGAGGCAGAGCAGAAACACGGATGAGACCAAAGTTGCGAATCATGAGAACACATGACGGATACATATAATCGTCATCACAATCCTCAGAACCACATCCCTGTACGATGTATTCGTTTCCTTCTCGGAAACGGATATAATCTTGGAATGGTGGTGGGAGAGGGTTAATGTTTTCTAAAAGTTGAACTGACGTCGGGTCCCCAAACGGTGCGAGAGATGAAACAACCACTCCCTTGTCGAATATCACAAAGGCTGAGTCTCCAGGCTTAGGGACATACAAATGTGGTGACCACGAAGAATTAGGTTCCACATAATGGTTCCGGAGATTAATGGGGTGAACTGCATCAGCAGTTACCTCAGAATGGGTTATCTTCAAACCAACAATAAAATAGGATAAGGACGAGTTTTGCGAGACAGCGACAAGAATCCAAAGCAAGATGGCACCAGTAGCAGCATCATCGAGATTGCCGGGACCGTAGTCAATCGGGTGTCTACTTGCGAACACGAAATCCAAAACCTCGAAAGTATTCTGGGCTTCCTCTTCAGAGATATTTGACGTACTACCCAGAGCGTTTATTATGGATTGTTTCGCATCCACCTGCGATTTCAAAGTGCTCCCGTTATTCCAATGGATATCCCACAGCTCAAATTCCCCCGCGCTGGTAGCTATAATGATGTCTCGCTGACCACGCTGAGACGACATGCCAGCTTTGGTGGCTGCAACTCTCCGTTTCCACGAGCTTCCTGAAAGCACACTCCTTATCCCACTTAAAAAGCCAATTCCGCCTCCACGAGATGTCCCGCGAAGTAATTGAACTGAAATTCCCGGTTTACCTTGCGAATCACGAATAGACACATGCGCAAGACGACCAGTGGATAAAGTAATAATGATTCCTGATGGTTCAGCGTTGATGATCTCCGTGGCAACTTCTCCCGATAACACTCCAGGTATCTCACCCTGAATTCCATTTTGCCTTTGTTTCATCAGCCCAAGTATAGCGGCAGTTGAAACTGTTTCCCAAAGACTAATTTTCCCAGTTGAAGGAACAACGACCATCAGGCCAGGATTGCCCTCTGCGGATTTGGATATGAATGTCCCTAAAGGCAGAGGGTCATCAGGGGACTTCGATGGGGTCGGTATGGAGAACTTAAGCACCGTGCTTGGAGTAAGTGACTGCGGCGGGATGGCGTATGGCCAGACAATAGCTTCATGTTGCGAAAGGGCAAGGCAGTATCCATTTGAAGAGGTGATTGTATATCTTAATGGGGCTAGAAAAAATTTCCATCAGAACATAGTGGTTCACGATGTGATTTTACTTTTATTTTGAAACTCCCAACTCACCACCAGGGTCTTCCCTGATATGTTCAGGCAACGAAGGTAAATGGGCAACCGTGTAGAAATCATTGCTTGACTAGGGAGCAGGATTTAACATCAGCATTTGCGGTTTTCAAATAGGTTGTTCTTTATGTAACTTTATGTAAAAAGAAGAGAGAGGGGGGGAAGAAACCAGTCTCTTACAAGAGTAATGGCCCCATCTGCATGGTCTCTGCGCTTTTCTGGTTTCCTAGGTCCTCTGAGAGCAAGATCACCCAATATATTTGCAATCACCTCCTCTGGCACAGGCTCCTCGTGTTGTTGCTGTCGTTCATCGACATTATGCTTAGCCGCAGCAGCCTCACCGCCATCCTGCCGAAAATTCGAGCGCTGTCGTTTCGCTTTGGGTGGCTTCACAGACTCATCTGAGTTATTTCTCTGGCGCCGACGGGGATTTCGCAACGCTGGAATGGAGTGCGTAGTCACGTTACTGGAGAACATGGCGCTGGTGAGAACGAATGGAAATTTAAGGGTAGCAATGTCAAGGGGAACTCTGACAGCTACACAATTAGCTGCTTAGCTGTTTAGCCAGTTGAGGTTCTTTCACCAGACCATATCCGACAACATGAATGTATACGTTGAAGCAAGCTTCAGTGGACAAGTTTGACTGAGTTACAAACTAGTTAAGGTAATTAACTAACTAGTTAACTTTTGGAGCTGTTATGATTACCTAAGTCATGGATGCCTTGGCATTAACTAGTTACTTGATTGGTTAGTTGGTTAACTATCATATATCATGTAAGCTAGCCGGTCTATATTTTGACCAGACCCTTTTTCAACCACTCTATCCAAACCTAACTCACCACCTTTACCACGCGTTTACTCAACCACATTATTAAAATGAAGCCTAATAATGAAGCTGCTATAGCTGCTGCTATAGGGAATTTAAAAAATGGTGTTTTTTCAATCTGAATGAGCTGCTGCTAAAGCATATAACATCTCACAAAGCACATTGAAGAGCAGAAAGAATGATATTATTCAACAAGCAATTGCTCATCAGCGTCAACATAAATTGACTTCAGAGCAAGAGATCTTTCTAGTTTGATGGATAAAAGAGCAAGATTCACAAGGATTTCCACCCTCTCACACATGTGTATGAGAAATAGTGACTCAAATTTTATAAATGAATTGAGATCTCACTTAGCTGGGTAAGAATTGAATAAAAAAGTTTTTAAAACAAAATTCTATAATAAGATCTATGATTGACTGAAGAATTGAGTTTCAAAAAATAAAGAATACTTAGCAGAAAACACTTCAGCAGTTCTGTAACTACTTTTCTAAGATACAACAGACTTATGAGATAGTTATTAAAAATACATGAAATATAAATGAGCATAGCATTGCTTTAGAAGTATATATAAATATCAGAGTGCTTACTGAGCAAAGAGAAGACAAAATCTATGTTAAATCTCCCTTCAATTATAAGTAAGTATCAATTCTTGAAGCTATTAGTGTTAATGAATGCTGTATATACTTTTTAGTCATTTTTCAAAATCAAAATGCACAATCTAAATGATTTGAAAATGTGAATATACTAAATTGAATCTATACAACATCAGATAATAAATAAACATTGAATAATATATATCTCAACTGATTATATATGATTTTTCTATCTCAAATGTTTAAAAAAGATTAGTATAGATTATTAGTACTGAATAATCACAATATGTAAAGGGTTAAGCTCTAAGAACTAGAGGCTAGTCCTCCTATATAACAAGGACGAATTGCTTGAGAAAGGGAAGAAAAGAATGAGACGAGAACTCGAGCTTAAGCAAGCTCGCGTAGCATGATCACGTGCGCACGTGCAAACGATGGCTAGGCTGAGTCAGCCAGCCAGAGCGAATCTAGGGGTTCAACCCCTTATACAATAGTCATATCACTATCAAATTTCTATAAGAATATCATATAAATTTGATTCATTTAGTGTTTCTATCTGCTCATACATCTTATGTTCTTCAGTCATTGAGTTTTGAAGTGATTTTATTCATAAAGAGCTACTATAGAGCTGAGATTATTATCATAAACTATTTGAATGATGTAGCTTCTGTGAATAAAAAAAGATTTATACAAGTCTATAAACAAGCACATTCAAAGATCTTAGATTTTTATAATATATATGAAGAGTGGAAAATAGCTAGTCTAGTGTTATTTAATTCTTTCAAGAGATTAGATTTCTTTCAAATTTAAGATTAGAGTTAATCTAACTCTAAACTGATAACATTTACAATATTTCTATCTTCTAAACTATAAGATTTTATACTTACAACTCTTTGAGATTCTAGATATATATATAAGACTCTGCAGCAGTTGAATAATAAGAGAATTATTACAAAAAACCAGTGAGTTTTTCTTTGAAAAGCTAGTAAGATGATTGATAAGTTGAATGCTCTATAAACAGTCAATCAGTCTATAATTTTTAAACTTTATAATCAATTAGAGATTCTATATCAGTTAAAAACTGAAAAGAAGATGAAATTTAATTCAAATATTTGATTTATCAATATAGAAAGAATTAAGAAGGCTCAAAAGAAAGCTACTGCTTGAGAAATTAGAAAATAACTACAGAAGTCAGAAATTAAGATTAAAAAGCAGTAGCAGCAGCTTTAATAGCAGGTCTAAAAGCCTGTATGTTTAAATGATAATTAGATTGAATTTATAGTTAAATATTTACTCAAATAGAAAGAGTGATTACTTTGAATAAAGTGATTGAAATAAAAATCTGATTGAAATATAGATTAACTATCTTAATTAATATTAACTTGTTCAATTCTATAATAATAATAGTGATAAAAAATTCAAATATCTTGTAATATCATAGACTAAATAAAATATTTAATCATTTTATATTTATAATTTTTATAAAATAATAAATTATTTTTATTATATTTCTATCAGTAAAGATACTTCATTTATAAAGTGAGTAAAAAGAAAATAAAATAAATATATAAGAGTAAAATATTATAATAAACTTTTATTATATAAATTTAATCTTAAAAGTTTATTTAATTTATATATAAAAAAATTTATTATATAAAAATTAAATATTTAAAATAATTTAAATATTTTACTTTTACTAATTTTCATACTTTTATATTTATAAATTTTTTTAATAATTAAATTATTAAATTAAACTTTGATATTTTTGATTTTATTACTTTTTATATAAGTAAAATTTTTTTAATTAAAATTAAAAATTTAAAAAATTAACTTACTTTTAAATTTTATCTAAGAGTATATTTAAACTAAGATATAAATTATAGTATTATATTAAATTAATTTGATAATATATTTTTAATATAAATTTAATTAAAATATAAATTAAACTTATCTAATAGAGTTTTAAAAGTAATATATAAAAAAGTAAAAATAATAATTAATTAAAAAATAATTACTTTTTAAAATAAAATAAAATAATAAAATTAAATTAATTAATTATTATTGTTTATTTTAAATATATATAATTAAAACTTATAATATTTATTTATTTAAATTAAAATTCAGCTATCTTATAAATTTAATTATATAATATAATTTAATTTAAATATATAATTATAAAATTTCATTTTAGAATAATATAATATTTAAATAATTTTTTAATTAATAAGTTATTAATAAGCTTATATAGTTTTAATTTAATAAATAATTAATAAATTAAAATTAAAAGTAAAATTAAAATTATTTAATTTAATAGAAATATTAATAAATAACTAAA